TTACACCTGCGTGCCGTGCCGTGCCGTGCGAAGGATATCACACGGACCGGATTATTCGCGTCGCGTGTCGACGCTAAAATTTCTGGTCATATTCCGACCATTAAATATTAAATCAAAAAACAAGAGAGAAAGAGGGAGGGAGATAAAGCAAGAGATAAAGAAAGAGAGAAAGTCTAATATCGCTTATTAACTGGTTGATTGAATGTGTATTAAAATCAGAATTTTAATTCAAATTTAATCTACATGATAATTGTTGTTGTTTCTAAAGTAATTTTTTTCGGTTGTTTCAAGGAGTAACATTATATCTGAGATAGAATATTTATTTTCTTATTTGTCATATTGATTAGATAAATCAGCTTTTCTGAGATATTGATAACATTATTTAGATAAAAAAATATATAGCGATAATAAAATTTTTAAAAGCAACTTGAGTATATTTTTTAAATAAAAATATAAAAAATTTTATTCGCGAAGTATAAAAAATATATTTAAGTATTAAAGTAATTGAAAAAGGTATGAAAAATAATACATATGTATTTCACAATTTTTATCATAATTAAATCTAAAAAGAGTGATTTTTTTATATTTAATAAAACTGTTAAAAAACAATATTTCCTCAAATCTGGCAATATATTTTTCATTACAAGTTAAAGCCAGTCTGCGCTTTTGATAAGAACTAAATAATCTTTATGTTTTAAATAATCTTAATATTATAAACGAAATGTAATGTCTAATGCATATTTTATCATATCTGATGCATATTTTATCTTGTCAGAAAATTAAACTCATTAAAATTATAAGAATTTTGTTATCAGTGATAGAAATTACAAAAGAGAAGTTTCTTAACAATTAAAATTAAATTAACTTATATATAAAGTGAAAAATTATTTTTGTGAATATTATTTAACATTTTTATTATGTTAAACCTTTTGAGATGCTATTTCTAATTTATAAAGTTCTTGTTGCATTGATTCATAAATATATCTAGGTAGAAATTAAACATTGAAAATTCCTAAAAATAAACAAACAAATAAAAAATATAAAATAAATAATTTTATTATTTTATATTACAAATTTAAGTTAATTTAAACAAAATTAGATTCATCGCTTTTTCTTATTTCAAGTTTCATAATTAAAATACTTTCAATAATTGTTTCAATATGATATTTATTTTTTAATGAAAAAATAGACTATAACATTTGACACCAAACAAATTAAAAGTACTAATTATATCATGTAAGGAAAACTTTGAAACATAATTTGTTGTACTAATCTCGGTTAGCAATAAATTCAATTAATTTTGTTTTAACTTAATTAATTTTACAATACAATTAATTGTATTTTAATATTATACTCAATATCGTGTAATTTTTTGAAAAAAAATGTATGTGAATGTTTTACCGGGTTCAATAACAAAAATGTCGTATTACATCTTTGTGTGCTAATTTAAAGCTTTAATCTAATGGATTTACTAATAATAAAAGTTTTAATAATTACAATATACAAAACTAAAAATTGAGAAATAATGACGTAATGAATTGTCATTTTTCATTCAATTTTTGAAAAGATTCAACTTTATCAAATAATAAAGGTATTGGAAAGTAACGCGACACTTGGAGATGTTGCATATTTCATACTTTTGACGCGAGCTAAGACACTCTGGTACCCAAACGAATGGAAATTTCTCACGTCTTTTGCGTAGCGCGAATGAAACAGTAGAGGGGCAAGGGAAAACATGATTTATTTCGACCTAGAGAAACAATTTTCACGAGCATGGCACGACGGTGCGCATCGGTCGACCAACTCCTGTGCGACGTTTGTTTTGCACTTGTTCTCACGACAGAGAGAGAGTGCCACGATGAGAGCAGTCGCGGTGTTCCACCCTCTTTCCTGAATCTTATCCCAGGGGAATTCCGTTCCCGGCACGCGGAACGTGTGTCGCACGCTGCCACCGTGCACATCTCCGGACAACACACACACACACACACACACACACACACACACACACCACACACGCGCGCACACACACACACACACACACACACACACACCACACACACACACACACACACACACACACACACACACCACCACACACGCGCGCCACACACACACACACACACACACACAATCGGACGCTACATAGGCGTATCCTTTTGAAATAAATCCTGTGTATAATGAACGAGATGTCGTGTCGATACCGAAAGTACAGGCTTTCTATTGGCAAATAAATAAACCAACATAAAAATATTTCAAAGTGTCGAAAAATAGTTACAATCAAATCAATTATAAAAAATGTTTAATCCCGAATGTTATATACATACTTGTAATAAGTTAAAAAGTCAAAAAATGCGTTTATTTATCTTCGTTTGATTTAGAAAATTAAATGAACAAAGTCTGTTTAGATAAGAATGATCAATATTTCAAGTTACAAAATTGACAAGTAACGTCATCGTATAATGGCAAAAGTACATTTCACATATTTTTTCTTGATTTTGAAAATAATTCAAGTCCATGATATTTAATTAGATGATAAAGTTAATAAAATTTTATAATTTTATAATTTTTAAGGAAAACGCATTTTATCCTTAGAACTACGCCATTGTTTGCTGAAGGGACGTGTATATATACGAGACATGTATGTGTGTCCTTTGATATCAATACGCACGAACATGTCGGCCTCTCCCCTTGGCGGTCTGATACATATGTCCTTGATTTGTCCAGAGAATAATATTCTCTTCTGCAAAGTTGATTAAATATTGGTTAGTGATCTCGGACACCCTCCGCGAGCTTTGTATCGCCTTTCGACCCCGCGCGCACAAAGACCCCGCAGGAATACAATTTAATATTTTCACACCCGAAAACAGCGGGCGATCATTTTTCTTTCATGCGAACTGGTATATCGGGAATTGACGATTTTTTTTCACAGAGTTTCGAGATAAATTTATAAATACTTACAAAGTGGTATAAACTCGGTTCAAAATGTTTTGAGTTTGGCGATAGATAACACTAAGTTGAAATAAAATTTCGCAATTATTCTATCTTTAACTTTTTATATATTCAAAAGATATATTTTGTGCATATTATATTGTATGTTTCAAACCAATTGTGTCATAAATCAAAAGAATTAATCGTTTTAAAAATGTATAGATTACTTCATAAATCAAGCTATTTTTATAAAAACTAGTTTTATAAAAACATAGATAAAAAGCCTGAACAAGTCAAAGCAATGAAATGTTATTGATTGTATCCCGTTAATAAATTCATGATATAAAAATAGCATCGTATTCGGTCATAAATTATATAAAAATTGAAGAATGTTGACAAAAATTAAATATACTTTTATATTATCAATTTCTAAGTTTGTTTTAATAACTTGGTCAAATTTTCTGTTATTCATATATTAATTTATTATCCATAATTAATTAATTGTTACTATTTTTACGAGTGAGATATTTTATCAAGGGAAAAAAACATTATATAAATACATGGTTACTTTTATATAAACTTTATTATAAAATATTGCATTGTGTTAGCCTTATCGACATACGTCGTGCTGCGTAAAAGTACGAGAACCACTTTTGGGATATCTGCCACCTTTACACAAAGATATAATTTATATTTTTAATTATTTACAAATATATATATCTATATTTATATTCATTTTTTTGCTAAAACACGCTATACATTTTTCCGTAAATATCATATGAGAACTGATTACACACATCATGTTTTATATAAATACAATAAAAGTGAATAATGAAAAATTAATTTCTTACCAGAAGTATTTAATATTAACAGTAATTTCAACAAAAATATTTTTTTATTTAATAGACAATTTCATTATCATCAATTTTTATAATAATATAATGATTTATAATATTCCAGTCTTCACGCTAAAAATTTTACGCGTCTATTATACTACAAGTATTCACTGTCTCATTACTATCAAATAAAAGTTATGTAATTAACTCTTTATGAAATACCCATATTGTTTTCAATGAAACAAAATGTTGTTCTTTAGTTTAATGTGCACATAAATCTTAAATGATATATTACTAAAGTTTAATAATTAATAAAATATTTAATATTAAGAAATTGAAACTAATTTCTTTTTCTTTTTTATCTCTTATAAAATTATCGCTAAAACCAATCTCAAAAGTATTTATCGTTATTTATAATTTGACGTGAGACATTTATGAATGCTAAGAAGATAATATGTATGTATGTTTGCTATGTTGTATGCTAAGAATGTATGTCTTTAAAATAAAAAAGTTGATTAAATAAAATTACCCAATAGTACATAATATGGATATTCATGGACGTAAGAAATAACTGGACCAACTGAAATATAATATTAATAAATTCGAAATTATCAAAACTCGTATATAAAATAATTTAACAGAATATTATATATTCTATACAGTGTGTGTGTATATATATATATATATATATATATATATATAGTA